ACATGCTGCGCAGCTAGTCATATCATACTGTACATATTCCAATCATTTTGTAGTGAATTGTTTATATTACAATCTTTTGTAAAATATATGATTTCGATAATTTTTATTCCCCTTTCCAGTTATCCTTCTGTTATTTAGTTGAAATTCCAGTAAAATTTTTACTCCGTTTTACATCACGTATTTGTGAAATATTAATTCTTTTTTTATATTGCAACTAATAGTGTAACATAATATTGCATATGTTAAAGAATTTTTCCCGATTTGTTCCTTGCAAGTCCTAGTAATAAAAAATGAAAAGCACAAAGAAATGCGGTTTTCTTTTGAAATATGTATTAACATAGCTATTTTTAAATTTCTTAGTAGCGGCAGCTTAACATAACTATTAACCTAAAATTTTTTCAAACTTTTTTGCAAGGAGCATTGTAGATAAAGAGATAAATTTTTTAATGCACAACGGACCAACACTTTTTAGAGCAACCTACTAATGCGCAACGAGAATTTGCAACAAATGGAAACCGGTCCAAAAAAAAATGACTGTAATGTCAGAAAAAAACCAAGCCGAAAATAGGATGGACGCAAAATCTCTTCTAGATTCTCGTAAATATAAAATAGTACATTTTTTTAGTTAAAAGAAGAAAAAGTAATACAGTTTAGTAGAGTTACCGTTTGCGTTAACATAGCGATGCTATGTGATACGATTCGGCCAGGAAGTGTCGGAACGCGTTCCCAAGTTACTCACCATTATATGTATATACGTGAGGAAAATCAGATCCTTGGAGATTTCACTCAACCAGACACCAAACACACCGTCATTGTTACAGTCACTATCGCTATCAATGTCATTATCACTGTCACTGACAGCAAAAACGACATTGTTACTGTCATTGACATTGTCGCAGTCATTGCCATTGACATTGTTCATGTCATTGACCTTGTCGCTGTCACTGTCATTGACATTGTCGCTGTCACTGTCATTGACATTGTCACTGTCACTGACATTGTCGCTGTCACTGTCATTGACATTGTCGCAGTCACTGCCACTGACATTGTTACTGTCATTGACATTGTCACTGACACTGACACTGACGCTGTCACTGTCATTGACATTATAACTGTCAGTAACATTGACATTGACATCATCACTGATACTGACATTGTCGCTGTCACTGTTCTTGACATGGTCACTGTCACTGACATTGTCACTGTCACTGTCATTGACCTTGTCGCTGTCACTGACATTGTCATTGATTCTGACATTGTCATTGATTCTGACATTGTCATCATCACTGTCATTGACTGACAGTGACTGTCAATGTTCATGACAGTGGCAGCGACAGTGTCAGTGACAGTGACATTGTCAATGACAGTAACAATGTCAATGGCAGTGACTGCGACAATGTCAATGACAGTGATAATGACAATTTCAATGTCTATGACAATGTCAATGACAGTGACAGCGACAATGTCTGTAACAGTGATAATGACAATGTTAATGACAGTGACAATGACTATTTCCATCGAAATATTAATTTCGTGGAAATCTGTGGGTGGCAAATCAAGCGGCTGGCGTCGAAAGATCTGAGAATCTTCAGATTTATTTCAGTTCGTGGTCGTGAAATAGTGGGATTTTCACAATCTTTAACCGTTTGGAGCTCATAGCAACATTATCCGATTTCGATGTAATTTTCTGTATGTGTATAATTGACATAGATCTGCATAACGTATGTTTTAAATTTTCGTTACAAGCCCTTATAAAATAGTTGTAAACAGTGACCTTTACAATTTTTTTTGCGATTTCCACAATATGCAATTTTTTCAAAATTTTTTGTTCACATCTTCAAGGTGTGTATACGTAGTATTCCTACTAATCCCTCTAACTTTGAAAAAAAGCTCAAGTCGTTAGATTCAATTTGAAAAATGTTATAATGGCTTAAAGATATCCGAATATTAGTGAATGTCACTGTATTTTTGCGATCCTTCCTTGCAATTCGTGTATTGTGTCCACGGACCTATATATATGGAAAAATCTGCTGAACTTGGGGCCAACGTCATGGACGCATTAGAACTTATCGTGTTTATGTAACCACTAAACTTCTACACTTTTTTTCGGAATTACCTGAGGTGTGGGCCGCGTTACGCTAATACTGGTACATCAGATTTGAAATTTAATATTGCGATATTGGCTAGTGCAAAATGCACATATAGGTAGTGCTTTGAAAACGTTTTAACGTCAGTTATAAGAATATGTAATAAAATGTATGAGTTTTGATTTAAATATTTAACCGTAACCATCATTGAGCTTTTCGAGGTCATTGAAAGGCCAAATAAATATAAATATTATATGTACCCCTTGATACCCTATAACTTTTGTTTCAACAATTTTTCCGTGTCAACCGTATTTTTCGATATATTTAAGTGATCTCGGATAAATCACACACTGTATAATAAACACAGGTCTAACAAAGTAAGTGTAATGAGAGGATTGTCTACAAAAAACGATCACCGTCCTAACTTTTTCAAAACTTGATAAAACATAAATTACCCATTGTTTGTAACGAATAGTCATTTTATAAAAATTTAAGGAAAAATAAAGTAAAGTTAAAAAATACGATCTGACTTTTAATAAACATAATATGACTTCTTAGAAATAATTAATAAATATACAGCCTTGCGTTATTTGTGAACTTTAACATTTCAACTGAAATCAGGAAAGTTTTTACACGTAGTTATACTGATTTATAATGTTATTCCTGAAATTCGTGATGATTGTGCCGATCGCGTGAAAATATGGACATTGAGCAAGGAAAGAAAAGACAATGGGCGTATACATAGAATCCGCTCCCTTTCGTAATTTCGTCTGGTAACCTTGAATAACTTTCTTTGACGTATCAGCATACAAATGATACGCACACTCACCACTTCATTCTCACCTAATATTTAGCAATCGTATATCGAATTTGAAACCTAATGAATGTACACCCTAAAAAAATAAACGTATTATTACTTACTATTATTAGGTTGGCAACTAAATTCACTAACTTATATTTCGTAACTTCTTTTTTTATTCATAATAAACTTATTTGTTGATTATTTTTTATTGATCTATATATCATTCGAAAGCTTTTAATTTTATAATTATTTTGATAAATAAATTTCTATCTCAATTTTGATATACATATAATTTTGTTCAAAAAAATGTTAAGGTCGCGAACTTAATTACCAACCTAATGTAATAATACATAAGGTATGTTCAATTGAAGAAATCCCGATTTTTATGCAGTATCAATAAATACAGTTACTTTATGTTTTATATGTTTCCATTAGTCAATACCATGTTGCAAAAATAGAAGAAATTAAACAATTGAACTGAGAATTAATACTACATCTATTATATTCTCCTGACCATTGGATTACCATCTATCTCGTTCACTAAAAAACATTTTAAATGGCAGAAACTTAAAAAATACAAATCATTCTTAAAATTAACATTAGATCAATTTTTTTAATCTAAAATATAAGGTGTTTTTTTGAAGAGTATTGAAAATTTACCTGAAAAGTGGCAAATTTTTTGGTCCTCGTAAACAATGCTCAATATATCATTGATTAACAGTAAGTGCAAATATTATTTAAGTGCAAACTGACCTTCTAAAACGACGTTCCTTATGACATAATCTAATATAAGCCGTTCAGAAGGCAAAACGATTAACTCCTCTTTTTGATATTTTTCCAATTTTAGTATCGAAGCACATTTTTGGTGCTTAATTTTTCATTAATAAAATTTGATGGGAGTTAGTCATTTTGGCCTGTGAATATCTCGCATGATAGCGAATATTTCTATAATTGTATCTCTTAAGCAACCCTTCAGCACGCGGTCTTAATTAAGGTGCTGTAGTGCGAGGTAAATGCTAATCGATAACGATCGCGCAATATTTGTAAGGCTTACGCGACGTCAGCTTTTAAAGGCGCGCCCGTTTTTGTCGAAAGGGAGGGTTAGACTGGAGTTCACGGTGCGTTTGCTGTTTCGTCGTACGACCTCGAGTGGCCTCGTATCTTCGACATATTGGCATACAGGTCGCGTGTATACGCCGCAACGATATGAAGAAACATAAACGTGCATACTTAGCGGTCGTGGTCGTATGTACATCGCAACATTTATGAGGAGGTCATCGGATGGTAAAAGAAAGAGAGGAATAGGTATACCCAATAAAAGAAGAAAAGATTAAGTGGGGGGTGGTTGTGTGTATGTGCGTGTAATACGGGTGGCATGGCCCGAGTTTGGGTGCAAGGAATAGCTCGGTTATTGTTAGCGGATGACACGAAAACACCGACGGTCATCAGGCGTATAAAAGTACGACGTATTTTACCCCGAGGCATCAGTCTTCTGGTGATCCTCTCACAAATAAACATGGCTGGAAAGGTAAGGAGAGTTACAGTTCAAGTTACATTGACCTCTATGACAACCTTACTGTTATCTAATCTAATCACCGAGAATCATGGGTAATATCTTCCAATACGAGAACAGAGTTATTTCTCTTCATCTTTTCTACATTTTATTTGATCATATTTACAATTCCCCGATATTTCGCGATATTATAAACAAAAATATCACAATATCTGACAAATTGCAAGGTATATTTTTCCATAATTTCAGCTCATCGTACTCCTAAGCTTGGCGGTTCTCTCGAAAGGGGCGGTAGTACCCGCGGTGCCCGCTGCTCCTGTGGTGGCGCCAGCGAGACTTGAGGTATTAGACGCGGCACCCCAATACAGTTTCGCCTATGATGTTCAGGATGCAGTGACCGGAGATTCGAAGGCCCAGTATGAGACCAGGAATGGCGACGTTGTGCAGGGTAGTTATAGCCTGATCGAGGCAGACGGTACTCGACGTATCGTCGAGTACACGGCTGATCCAATAAACGGCTTTAACGCGGTGGTCAGTCGGGAACCAGCGACTGCAGTAGCTGCGATTGCAGCGCCATTGGTACCATATGCACCTGCCATCGCGCCTTCTGCAGCAGCTGCACCTATTCTACCAGCAGCAGCTGCACCAGTACCCGCCATTCCAGCCAGTGGTCCCGACTCCGATGTCGAGGTCGTCGAGGCTAGGTCCGGTCCGTTGGTCGAAGCTGCGCCGGTCACTCGCGGAGACCAACTTCGTCAGCAACAGGAGCAGCAGCTGCAACAGTTGAAGCAAATTGAGCAACAACAGCAAGTGCAGCAGCAACAACAGTTACAACAGCTGCAACAGCTACAACAGCAATCTAGGTTGCAATTGGAACAGCAGATCCAACAACGTCAACAGCAAAGGGTACAACAGGAACAGGAACCACAACGTCAGCAACCACTGCTGCGTCAACAACCACAGCAACCACTGCTGCGTCAACAATCACAGCAACTGCAACAGCAACAAGCTGTACCGGTAAAAGCATTCGCCACACCGATACAACCCGGAACGAAAGCTCAACGATTGATTAGTTTGCCAGCTGCTCAAGCTATTACCAACTACGCAACTTATCCTAATCCCTATGCTTACACAGCTGCCTACTCGTCGCCTTTAGCTTACGCGGCACCGATCAGTGGTCTCACCTACGCTCCCGCCACTGCGCTTCTCTGAAGCATATTCTTTTTTAAAGATTCTGTTATTAAATTATGCTTGCCTAATTGATGTCGTCGACGAAGTTGCAATAAACACATGTTTACAATGAATTGTACGAAATATATTTGTCTGTGAATTATTTTGACACCCGATGTCCCTAAATGTCCCTATATACAATTTTAGAGAAATTGTGAATGGAAATATCTTATTCAATTGTACAGACAGAAAAGGTCCAATTTTTTTTGGCCAAACTTTGTCGATATATTCCATGAGTATTAATAAGAAAAAAGTGCTATATAAATATAGATCGTTTGAAGTTTCATTAAAATGTAATAACAAAAATACGAAAGGAACAGTAACTACGATAGTAAAAGTTACATCCAATTGACGACCTTAGATAGTAAACATATGTTTTGTGAGCAGACTAGATGTAAATATTGCTGATCTGCTCCTAATTTGTATCATAGTTACCACGCATTCGTTACGGTTCGCTTTTTAAGAAAGCTTCGAACGACACATGTTTATATAACATTCTTTCTTATTTATACTGCAAGAATATACTGACAAAGTTTCATTTCACACAACAACCAAAAAATTGGAACACCCTGTACATCCATCTAGATCACCTATTATAAGAACAAGCTCTCTATTTTCACATTCCGCGAACATACAGTTCCAGAAACTGGAACACCCTGTACATCCAAATACTCTAAATCACCTATTCTAAGAAAAAGTTCTCCGTTTTTACATTCCGCGAGCATACGTTCAGTTCCAAGGCTCGTTTCCATTATTTTTCAAGTCACAAATTTACGCCGTGTTAAGTAATTCCCTGGCGAGAGGAAAAACCGATATTTCGACCTCTATCGTGACAAATTGTCGACTTTTCCCCTATTAACAGAGTGAATAATGTTAACGTCGGAGCTACTTTCGACAGTTTCGTTCGTAATAAGCGAACGCATTTTTATTTCTACCACCATGGATGTCTAGAGCCTCGTACCGTTGACAAATAGGGAAGATTTATTATTCCGGAGAGTCTGGTTTCATTTTGGATTACGTGGTGGAGTTCGCGATGGGGCCAGTGTCCTCGTGATCTCCGTACCCCGGCGCAATCGATTTCATGTGACCGTAAGTAAGTACGTAGGCGTAATAAAGTAAAAGCGCCACGAATAACGTCGATCAATGTCAGACATGCACGGACCGATCACTTGTCACGTTTATCTACGCCGCGCCGGCGCATCGATTCATCGTGTTCGTTTACCGTTACACAATTCGACGTTGTGATGCCACCGAGGTCCTTCCAGCTTTTACGCAAGAAAAATTCTACGTACGTATACACATACGTTACATACACACGTCTTACGCTCGTGCCTTGTAATGTGATTCGACCTTCTATTACGTGTCACATAACGGGCTACATACGTAGACGAGTTGCACATGCGCTTCGTTCTGTAGCATTCTTATAGAGTGTACCACGCCTACATAGACGACTTATTTGTGCAGGACGCTTTTCAAGATATTTTTGTCTGGAAAACATTTTTTTTTTTGGTTGATAATTAAGGTTACGAAAGGATCGATACTGCTGGTTGAAGAGATTTCATTTTCAGCTTTCAAGAAGTATCGACATTCTGATGTAATGATAGTTTAAGGTTATATAACGGTAGTCATATTTGGTTATCGTTCCCGTTTCATTTATTTTCACCTTAAATGTGCAATATCAAGGAGTTGTTCGAGGAATAAGTAAATATTAAATAATATAAAGTAATTCGAAGATTTGTGAAAAATTCGAAACTATATAAATACGATATAAAGTTAGTATTGTTCTTGAAGGTGTAATTTCGAAATTTTGTTATTTGTGTATTTTGCATTGTAGCATGCGTGAGTGTTAATCACATATGTACAATAAATTGATCATTAAGTGATAGTGACCAATATTTACGTATTCTTATTAAATATGTGTATACGTAAAGCACGGAATAGCGCAGTACCTTTGTAAGTAGTACTGTCATACGTGTATCAGACGTATAGAGCATGTAACATTCTTATACCGAATGTTATACTGTATATTTCGCATCAATGTAATATACATATTGCAGATAATATATTTTATATGATATCTGTGATATTGAAAATTATGTGTTAAAAAAAATTGCAAAAGAGCGTAAAACAAACATTATATTGGGCAATCAAAAATTTGAAAAATTCTTTATAATGTGTATCCAATTAATTTATAAGCTCGGAATACAATAATAGTGAAATATAATTTTTAACACCGATTTTGCTTCTTTTGCTAGGTAAAAAATTATTTGTACTCAAGTATACTTTTCCTATAAATAATTTATGTTCAACAGAATAAATATTTCATTTCTAAAGAGATGTTCCTTTTTGAAGCTAAATAATCTTTTTACAATTTGTATGTTGTAACGAATATTATTTAATAGATTTTAACGAAGGGAAAAACTAAACATTCGGTAGTCTGCAACATGAGTGACTATTACTACTAGACCTGTTGATTGATAATAGCATACTTACTGTACTTACGCGACGTATAATGGTGATTCCTAAAAAATATATACAGGGCGGGGCAAAAACTTTGTCCACCTGGAATGTTTCTGTTATTTGTAATAATATGGAAAAATGTTATATACAATACTTGCAGAAGACGTAGCGAGTGGGAGACGGGACAGAAAGATTGTAGAGTGGCTCGAGAAGCTGAAAAGGAAAAGAAAAGAAAAAAGAATATTATAGAATAAGGGAGGGGCAACAGTTAATAAGTAATAAGTAGGGTAATAAGTTAGTAGAGTACGAGGGAATGTGAATGGAAGAGAGAGAGAGAGAGAACGAATCGAGTGAGTGAATAAGATAGTTTTATAAAACGTAGGTTATTGTAAACCAAGTCCAATTCATGGCTGTGAGGCTGAATAAATAAACATACTACTACAAAACTGCCATGATATATTGTGACGTAAATACTTTTTACTTAGATGAAGGTGTAGAGGAAATTTCAAGGTCATCTCTATTTTTTTAAATAGACACTTTAACTAAATCACAAAATTCGATATACAGGGTATTCCATAATTGGTGGCACAACTGTGAATGGGCCGATTCTCGTGAAAGAATAAACTGGAAATATTTGAACATCTCGTAATTTTTTTAAGAATTTCGTATTCTTACAGAACAATTATAATTACAAAATATATCGTTTACAATATACATATATAAGAATACGAAATTCTTAAAAAATCACGAGATGTTCAAATAAGTGAAATTAAAAAGACACGTTTTCATGTGTATTTCTTTTCGCGAAAATTTTACAATTTAAAGATAAGATTCATAATCCTCTCTGTAGAAAAAAGAATATTGTGCTGGTTTTAACGATATATCAAGTTGGTATGTGCAATTAATGTGTACGTACATAGGCTCCAAATTGTACTATAACCGTTACATCATTTTATGCAATATCTGCATAACATGTTTTCACTTGAAAATTATATCACATTTCTGGAACAGTCACGATTACATTCTTTCGACTGTCTCGTTTTTAATAAAAGTGTAACACGTCGGAGACACGAAACGGAAGATAAGTAGGGACGTTCTAAATTTGAGAAAGGAAGAGTATCCTTTATTCCCAGGTACGTAATATTCGCTGGAGGGACATGTACCATTAAATCAATTTATCAACAAGCACGCATATTTTCAATAATTTATATTACAGTCGGAAACTCGTTTTTCTTCCGGTATGATTTCAAAAATCATACGTTTATAATATTTACGAATGTGCCATGAAAGATAATATAAAAATATAATTTTAACATTAATAAGTTAGATTTTTGTAGACTCGCTGCAAAAAAAAAGTTGCTCGTCACAGGTTCAGAAGTTTGAAAAGGATCTATATAATTGTGCTTTTCTTTATTTACATGTTATTCGTGTATTTCCAACCCGAACGAATAGCTGCTGAAACTGAAAGCTGTAATACTTCGTTCATTTTCTCAAACGTGTTTCAGAATACAAAATAAATTAAATAACAGCGTAAAAGTTAATTAAATCACATGTTAGAAATTTCTACAAATAACAATTTTACAAATTCGAGAATAGTACTTTAAATTAAACAACTTTTCAACGCGTACACGATTGAATCGGATAAAGTGTACCCGAACGTTATAATCAGCTGACGACGAATAATAATCCGATAAAACTCGTTCGTTTAAATGAAAAATGAAAGAATATTTGTCTACCGAAATAACGAAATGAAATCATAAAGACGGACGAAACAACGAATGAAATTGTAAAACGTTGAAAAAGGATAAAAATGTAAAATGTTCGTAAGAAAGTAAAAGCAAGACATATTGATGATGATTAATGTTACAAAATGGTGGCCCGAGGAAAAAAAGTGTCAAATAACGAAACGTCGACGAAGAGTAAAATGATAAAAATGTATAAAAAAATTTATAAGAACAGAGAATAAAGGACCCAACTAGGTTGAAATCACACGTAAAAAGGGTCCAGATGGTCTTAATTCCGTCGAATCGGTTACATACCTGTTCGTACCGTCCAACTTTCACCGGATAAGTCAGGGCTGCAGCCGCGGCCGTCAAAGTACCGCGCCCAATGTCACGACATGGACCCTCGTAATCACGCCCTGGATTACGTGGCTCCTCAAACAAGAAACCGGTTCACTTTTGCCGAACCGGTTACGGAGCGAATTCGACCAAATGGACAATGGATCACCTTAGGGCAAAAGCTGACTTCGTGCTTTTTCATTAATTTCGATGAAGCTGCGAAACCGTTTCGTCCCGATACACCTCCCCCGTATGTTCGTCATCTGATGATAATTCGTCTGACATAGGAGATATACACTTCCACGTCGAAGATTTCAATTACAACTGGAGTATCTTCGTGACCGATGAAACGAGTAAACAGCTGGAAGGAAGAGAATTTTAAAGCTGCTGCGCAATGAAAGATGTGCTATCTCGTTTAAATGAAATTATATACTTGTTTCAGGCAAGTTCAAGGATAACGCTAAGGTTTCGGGAATTTGTTTCGTTCCTTGATTAATGTTGACATTGTTCAACAGGTGTCGCGGGAAGTTCAGGAGGAAATTATAATAATTAGTTGTTCGTCTATGTTTGTCACTGATAGATGATAATAGACACTATTAACCCCTTAACCTATGATTTCTTTTCTAACTATGCGTATAAGCGTCAGCCATTTAATGTTTTAGTACTGTATCAGGTAATAAAAGTTAATCTGTTACAGATTAATTATATTTAGGAATCCTTGATCTTGTAAATTAAAACGAAAGTTAGGATTGCAATTAATTTTTTTTAGTAATATAACTATTTTTGTCACATCTTGACCGAAATCGCGGCCGACACGTTGTTGGAGGTTAAAGGGTTAACGAAAGCTATTAAAGAAATAAAAAATTGTTTCCGTTATCGATGTAGTATTCGTCAGAAGAATCCAACCAAAAAAGAAAAAAAATGATTTTAGTGTAATTTTTGACAAATTTGTGCGTAGCTAAATTTGTATTGTAAAGCGAATGTGAAAGCATGCGGTCCCGATACCTCATTGCGAGCAGTCAATCGCCGATTAATAATCAAGTCACGTAAACAGTAGAGACAACTGCAGGTACTATCGTGACTGGAGTATGCCTTTCTTCTATGGTTTAAAAGGTTATAAGGCGTTTGTGCGTAGACAATTCACGATAGACGCGTCTATTACAAAAACTCTCCTTTCCTTCCACGAACACTTTTCCCTCTAGAAACTGTAATTTGATCATCGCGGACAATTAAACAGCGCAACCGGTATCTCATTTTCTTAACCGTCCGTATAAATCATCATAACTGCGTAATACAATTAATTGTGAAATTCGAGAGATACGGTACGCAACAATACACGCACGCAACTGGCGTGTCACGTACGTAACAGTACGTGAAATAAAACGTATCAATTCCTTTCTTTAATACAAGTACGAAGAAATAACGTTCAAGTGTATCCTGTTTTAAGCGTATCCTGTAATCCCTCATGTTTTGCGATAATTTTCTCTTTGTGTGCTGGTCAGCATGTCTGGAACGTTCTAAGAAAAAAATTCCAGAACAGGTTTGTTGCGCGTCCATTGCCGAAAAAACAATTCTTCTGGTTCACTTTTATTGTGCAATAATTTAAATCGAGGCAATTAAAATACCTTTCTCCGCCGGCGATGAATTTGGCTCACGCGGCTTAAGATGAATTTTTCTGTGTACGAGAATTTTCCGTGGTATTACGCTTGCGTCTTTTACATGCTTACGAAATCGAGCATACTTTCACGCATGTGTATCTTTCTTCACAACGGTTACGTTTATTCCAATTAATTTTGCGACTATTCTGTTTAAAAAACAAAAAACATATTGAAATTATAAACTGGAAATTATCGTGCTAATATTCGTGGCTATTTTCTAGACAATTATTAAACGAGTTCAATATGATACATTCTCGTGTGAGTAAAAAGTTAGGGACAAGTGTAAGGATAAATGTAAGCAGTTCCCAAAATAAAACACGTCGCATTACTTTTATTAGTTTTCTCCGAACCAGTTTTCGCCGTGATGGGCGTGATTCCCCAATAATTTGCACAACAAAAGTAGACGGCGTAGAAATTTGATGGTATTACGCGGGTTGCGTGGCGCTCGAAAAAGAGCACGAAAGTAGAGAAAGTGGGTCAGTTCTGGCGACCATAAAAAATAACTCGATGATCGAGCAACGCAAAATTGAAACGCTACCCTGCTCCCAAGGTTATGCGAATCTCATTACACTTCATTCCATCGAGCACACTTCAGCCGAGCGCTATCTCGTACACAACAACTTAACCTAACCTAGAAGCATTACTACGACATATTTCAAGTTGTTTTTCCCACTTTCCTAGCTAATTCCTCTAAACAACATCTGTGAATATTATATCATTAACAAAGGGAACACACGAACTGTAACTCCCGAATTTCGATGAAATCTTGCAGATAGCTAGGGAATCGAAAGCTGTACAGCTAGGTTCAATGTAAGTGTCGGTGCTCATTAACCTAAGACATATTAATTAACCACTTAACGCACTTGCCCGTGTCTTACACGTACACAATTAATCGTCCAATGTGTACAATTTTGTTCAACTATTCTTTCTTTCATTTTCCATATTGCGTTATCCTTTCTGTTATGGCAAAAACGCGAGTTACATCATTACAAATAGTGGCAAACATATTTCTCTATACGCCTAGGATATAATTAAAAAGAAGTAAAATTAATCATTTTTGTCACATCAGATTGAGAATAATGTGAAGAAGTTAATAAAGCTTAATGATAATAAGTAAAATTAGAATTAAAAATAATAATTAAAAATTTTTAAAAACAAAGTGTTAATAAAGGTTATAAAAGACGTATTTAACAAGGAGATTGACGAGAAAGGAATAGAAGATGAATGAAAAAAATGTAGAACACATTCGGGTACATTTGTAACGAGTTTAATTGGTCACAAACAAATCTGCTAAAAAAATAAATAAAAAAATTCAGCCTGAGTCGTCAGTATCAATGGCGTGACGCGGTGACGGCTTAGAGGTAATGCGCGGGTGCTGTGTAAGCGAGAGCTGGTCCGGCGGCGTACTTGGTAATGGCAGCGGGATGGGCTGAATAAGCCAATGGAAGAGTAGGGGCTGCGTGCGCAACGGCAACAGGGGCGCTGTGTGCGACGGCAACAGGGGCGCTGTGTGCAACGGCAACAGGGGCGGCGTGTGCGACGGTGAACGGAGTAGCGATCTTAGCGACTGGAGCGGCGTATGTGAGAGTTTGAGCGTGAGCAATGGGGGTGGCGATCTTGGCAATTGGGGCGGCGTAAGCCAGAGGAGCATGAGCGACGGTTTTCACGGCAACTGGAGCGGCAGCGACGGTTTTCACGGCAAGAGAGAGTGGTTCTTTGCGAACTACTGCGTTGAATCCGTTGACTGAGTCAGCGGTGTAGTCGACGGTGCGCTTAGTTCCGTCAGCTTCGATGAGGGAGTAGCTGCCTTGGACTAAATCTCCGTCACGGGTTTCTTGTTGGCTCTTAGCATCGCCGGTAATGCTGTCGTGCACATCGTAAGCGTAGCTGTATTGAGGATGGGGGTCGTATTCGTCGTCCACTGTCTTAGCTACCACCGTTTTAGTCACCGGAGCGACCACAGTCTTAGTCAGGGGAGCAGAGTAAGCCACTGGGGCAGAATAAGCCAAATGCGCGGCTGGTGCGTAGGATAGATGCGCCGCTGGAGCGTAAGACAGGGGTGCGATTCCGGCGTTAGCGGCAGCCACGAGGGCGGCGAATGCGATGAACTGGAAAAATAAATACGATTATTAGATATCATCAAATTATTTACTTAATTAGTACTCGGTACTCTCTGGTAGTACTGAGATAAAAACGATTGTTCGTTCGTTCTCGCTGACACTACCAAGAGCTACTGTTTAAGTCGCGTTCATCAGGTTAAACTGATCCTTTACCCACCTTGAATGCCATTGTTGAGGAAATTTGGTTGGTTTGGATCGGCTGAGCAACTGATGATGTTAAACGTTTATTCAGACTGCTTTATATACCAACGATCGGCCCGGTACTACTATGCTCCCCACCAAATTGCCCAAGTTTTGTCGGACTTTCAAAGTTTAGTAGCAGATCACATCGGCGTCACCGTACTTGAACTTGGCCCGTACACGGGTGTAGTATTCGTGTGGCACCATATGTTCATCCTGGATCGTGTTTTTTTTATCTCACGGTAGATAAGTTTGTCATGAACAACCATCGGTACATTGGTTACCAACAACTGATTACCATCTGTAACGAAAGTAACTTTTTCAATGTCGGAAATGTATTCTGTAACAATTTGTACTTGTATTCGTTTTTTTAATTCATTTCTACCATTGAAATAATAATTATCGAAGGAATATTTGAAGGAAAACTTGTTTCATAAAATTATTGAATGAATGATATTAATATTTCCAGTGGTTTCTTCCTGTTTTGACGTCTCTGCAGTAAGGAAAATATCTTTCTGTGTTATGTAACAACATTGTACGTAGCTTTTGCTGTGAACAATCGAGGTCAATTTTTCCTGATATCCTTGCAATAAATGAATTTTTACTGAATGTGATTTGTATTCTGTTCTTTTTTTTTTTTTAATTAACTTTGATTGAGACGTATTTCGATTGCGGTAGCTTTTATTAGCTTGATTTTTAATTTTTTCGATGCATCCGTCATCTTTCTGACATGTCCCTGAAATTTCTTCCTTTTCTTCAGCCACTTTCGGCGGTAGATATTACTGACCACGCGAAATTACGGATCTATAAGACCTTCACTGGTTCAACGATCTCCTGTAGAATGTTTCAACAATGACACGAGTAACAAATAAAGTTCAATCGTTTAAACGTTATTTCGACTAATTTGCAATTTAAACGTTATCCAATGGAGAAACATATATCTTTCGACTTTTACCGACAATTCGTCGAGAATCGTCTGTTTCATTTTGAAAAAATTCAGTTTCCAACTTTTTCTTTCACACAGAACTGAATTAAACGGTATCGACGCTTTTAAGCTGAATTCCATTTTCTTCTTTCGTACCGTCTACGAATTCAGCTCGCGTAAAAGCTTGTACCAGGTACCCTTTCATTTTGAAAACCCCGGCAT